ATCAGAGATGGGGGGTGAGAGGATGCACTAGATTGGGAAGCAGAAAAGGCAGATGGACTGAAATACACTGCTAAGGGCAGCAGCAGGCAAGCAGGAGAGGTCTGCCACACCATGTGGGTCACCTCCCTGGTTGTGGATCAAACTCGTGCTACAGTGACTATGATAGCTTCATAGTGCTGCTCTTCAACCCTCTGTGCCACCAGGGAGGGCCGGCTTCCCAGCACTCCTATAGCACAGCACAATACTGTGCCAAAACTCGACAATCATTGGAGATCAATTTTAGGGTATAACGAGGTACACTGGGGTGCTGCTTTCCTTAAACAGCTTTAGGGCTAAGACTTTGCTGTTACTTCTATTTTCCTCAATATGTAGGACCTGTAACCAGTAGAGGAAGAGGAATTTTTTTCGTAAACTCAAATTCTATTTTGCAACTTTTGTTTTTATAATGTTTCATCTTCTACAGAGATTTCTACTTGTTGCTGCCCCGTATTCCCGGCTTGGGGAAGGAAAGGACTAGATGAGAATATGATCTTCTTCCTCAGGAGTCTGGGATTTGAGGTTCACTTTATGAATTCCCCGAGGGCAGCAGCTGCTACATTTTCTGTTTGAATCTGCCTGACCTGTAGTGGGAGTCCCCACATGCTTGCTGACCCAGAATGTTATGAAGATCTTGTTTTCAGACAAAAAGATGAATTAAAGCAGAATAAATAGCATACTGTTACTTTAAAAAAAGACTTGATTATAATTTTTAAGCACACAGCAAAAATATAAATTGTGAAGAGCTGTGGAGTCCAGGTTACTGAAGGACTAGAAAGAAACATTGTGGGCTTTTAGAGAACAAGGGTCTCTTGCACCCAAAAGGGAGTATATTTTTGCTGGCAGGACTAAATGCTCAGACGGTGTACAAACAAGGGGGGGTGAAAAAGTACGGAGGTGGGGACTGTGGGATATATAAGGAGGGAATCGGAATAAAGGAGCTTCCTTTTGCCTGCGAGAGTGTGTGTGTGTGTGTGTGTGTGTGTGTGTGTGCGTGTGTGCGTGCGCGCATGCTCGTGCCTGTTTCATTATCATCCCCAGCCCGCACCTCGAGACTGCGTTGCCCCGCTGGGCCGGGGTAAACAATAAATAAAAAGAACAGCCATGTACCCACTACAAAAGTTTCAGCAAGATTCCATTATCTTAAGGTTATTAAAGCAATGTTTCATCATAGAGTAGCTTGCACTATTCAGAATTGAGCATTGACATTAGAGATATTTCAAATGATTAAATCATTGATCAGCTTCCTTAACCTCTGTGTTTTTGAAGTAGGAATGGCATTTGCTGAGTGTTTTTAGACTAAAGTTAATAGAGCCTGACAATAAATAATAATTGATCAATAAATAATAAGTGATCAATAAATGTTAACTAACACTTTAGGCTAAACAACAAATCATAGTAGAGTACAATAAAGAATCCCAGACAATACAGGGCTTGTGCCTACAAATGTTCAAGTTTTTCATTAAAACAAACCTGGGGTAAGGATATCATTTTATAGTTATGGCAACTTTCTGACACCTAGTGGTACACTGTGAGGAAGTGTTTTTTCCTATTTTATGAATTCCCTTTGAGTTAGTAGCACAAGGCTAGATGGGAGTGTATAGTCTTGACTATGACTTCAGCTGTGTTGATAATCTGAATACTAATCCTAGGAGGGAAAACCACTTACTAGATTAATTTGTTATAGGACAACAAAGAGGTAGAATTGGAGAATTGTCCAGTTAAAAGACACACAAAAAGATGCTTTAAAAAAAAATACTAAGTGCACAGCTGTTCTAAGGGGTTAGGATAGACTAAAAAGAATGAGACATTTGCTGAAAAAGTTTAAATACAATTATAAATTGTTTTGAAGGTAACTAGTACTATTCCATACTAGCAATCCCTTTGATCTAATACTTTTTAAAATATTTATTTATGCATAGAACTGTGGTATAAGGCCAGAGGTGAACATGGTAGTTGGGGAGTAGTGAGAAGAAGAAGACGAAAAAAAAACACTGAGGAGAGCAGCAGGCAGCAGGAGAGGTCTGCTGCACCCTGTGGGTCAGCTCTCTGGCTGGTGATTCAATCAAGCTGTTAATAGCTGGCTATAGCTAGATAGCACTGACTGTAACCCCATCACCACCACTAGGGAAGCCCACCTAGGTACTATTTTGAATATTACTTTCATCTGGACAACAGAAAAATTTAAGTCTTCCCTAGGCATTCATTCACTGAACTTTAGGGTCCGTATTATCTAGAAATATGGTTAGTATAGAGGTCTACAACTGGTGTGGAGATAATTTAAGAAATACAAAATTTCTTACAGCTTTACATTTCTTCTCAGAGCAATTCAGTTTTAGGGACTCTTAAGATTGCAATTAGCCTGAGTTTCCCTACCAAAAGTGTGAGCTCCACTTATCTTCACCTATAGCTTGCTAAAAACTGAGTTCCAACCCAGACCTACTGAATTTGGGTTAAGACTTATCATGGCCTCAAGGTGATTCCCATGCCTATTTATTAAGTATCAGACATTTGGTCCAAATGTGTTTCTCTAAATGGTTCATCTGAGAGAGAAAATGAGCACAAAATTTTGAGATATCCCATTCAGCTAGTACAAAGAACCAGAAACTGACTTTTGGGTTTGGTCAGTGTTTTTAAGCAAGACTTTAGCACTTGAGAGTTGATAAGCCTGATTCAACTAGTTTTTTCCCAGACCTGGGAGACCTCTCAAAATATTTATTACTACTCTCAGATTCTATCTTGTTTCACATATAAAGCTTTGTACCACAGTCCTTGGTAGCTGTTTTCTTAAAAGTTGGCCAAAATAAAAATCTATTTCCCAGATTAAGAATGTGCTAGGGTTACTACTGGATAATACAAAATGACAACATTTTCCTGGGAGGAAAATAACCAGCTTTATTATAGACTTTTATCTAGAGTTGGTCATGTGTACTTCATGCAGCATTTACTTCAATTAAAATAAGAAGATCTGAAATATACTTACACCTCTGAAAATTTCAAACATTTCATTTTCTACAAACCACTGTTAAAGTTGACTATTATCTCTAATTTACAAATGAGGAACTGGAGAGTTTTGATTTACCCATGGTTACATGAAAAGCAAAGTATCATTAAAGTTATTATCACCCTAGCTTCTCATCCACTGAATGCCTTTATTCAACTGGATGTTAGCAAAACAGCAATGAAATACACGAGAAGCAAGACAGTAGCTCCTCGGAAACTGGTAGATGCTGTGACTACGTGGATGTCAACTAAATTGCTGTTCACTTTAAATACTGTACTAGAAAATAAAGATTTCCCTATTGTGTTCCATGTCCTGTTTTAAATCCTTGTGGACACTGACTTTTCTCATGCTGTTTTCCCTTATCCTGCCATTCTTTACATTAAGTCACATTGGCTACAGATCAAGAGCTAGATTATTTTGCTATACCTTTCAGAATTGTGAACAAACAACTTTTAGGGACACATTTTCTTTTCTTTCTGTAGAGCTACTGAAGTTTTGCTAATTTAATGGATTGTCGGGAAATCCTGAAATGTTTTTTCTGTCTTCTATACAAAAATGCCTAACAACTTTTCTGACAACCCAATACTTTTGAACACAAAACACAGCTTTAAATAGGTAAGAAAGAAATTTAAGAGTTCCAAAAGGCAAGAGAAACATCTAAGAGTGGGTTCTTTAATTGGTCCATCTACTCACTACCTTCCAAAAGGCTATTTCAAATTAACAATTCACAACTCTTTTCAGTAATATCCAAAACTGTAACTTCAAATTTAAATATAGAAAAGGGACAAAGAATTGCTACCTAATATAAAGAGATCACAGAACTGTCTTAAAATACAAACAAAATACTTTTATTTGTATAACAAAGACTCTGAGAAATGACGACATAATAAAGTTAACACAGTTTATGCCAAGACACAAACAGGTCTGAAAAGTTGTAGATGATAAATCACTTTGCTTCATCCAACTGCCTCTGAAGTTATTTTAGAGAGCACCACTGGCATTCGTGACTGAATTTTAAACATGATGTATCCAGGTGATTCAATTATGGTATCCCCCCTTCCATTAGTCCTCAGTATCTCTCTTCTTCTTCTTCTTCTTCTTCTTTTCTGGACTCTGAAAATGTCAACAAGAATGCACTTTGAAAGAGATGTGACTGTTTGGGAGGCTAGTACTAACTTTTAATTATATATATATATTTTTAAAAGTAAAATAGATTTCCTCACGAAAAAAACTTGGAGTAAAGATTAAAATCTAAAAATACAACCATACTTCTCCCTATGAAAGTGACCTCCAGCAAATCATAGCCTCGCCCTTCCTCAAACCTATTTTGCTAAAGGATTCTAGGTTTGGGGAGTCATCTTAATTATACTATAAATACAACATTCTATTTTTACCTCCTATCAGTAAAAATCATTTAAGACTTCACGGTTATTTCTGACACAGAACAGACTAAAATATGGAAATCCCTGGTGGCACAGAAGTTAAGTCCCAGTGCTATAACATGGTCACCGCTGCTGTTTGATCCCTGGCAGAGAACTGACTCACCTATGGCCACAGCTGACCTCTCCTGTCTCACCTGCTGCTCCCCATTCTGTTTCTGGTAAATCCTTTCACCTCCTGCATCTACATGCCAGTTCTTACATGTATAACTAAATAAATCTTAAAAAGATTTACTGATGCACACAGGAGCAGCATGTAGGCCAGAGGTGCAGGGGGTGGTGTGTGTATTTTGTATGCTTGTGTATTCTCCAGAGAATAGAGAGCAGAACATGCAGACTGACTGAAAAACATTGTCAAGGGGAACAGCGGGTAAGACAGGAGAGGTCTGCTGTGCCTGTGCGTCACCTCCCTGGTGGGGTATCAAATTCATGCTGCAATGGCTGCTGATAGCTTCATAATTCTGAGACCCCTTGAGCCACCAGGGAGGCCTCAAAAATTTTAAAAAGGTAAAGTGTGGAATTCTGTCCATTTAATAAAGTATTAGTAATTAAAAGTAAACATACAGCACAGCGGGTTAAAGCAGTGCACTGAGAATCTAAAGCCGCTTCTGCATGAGTTCGATTCCCGCCTGCCCCGGAGGTGACCACATGGCGTGGCAGACCTCTCCTGACCCGCCCGCTGCTCCCCTCAGCAGTGTACTTCGTCGATCTGCCTGTTCTGCTCCCCACTCTGTCTCTGGTGAAGCCTCTCACCGCCCCTGAGCCTCTGGCCTGTACCCCAGTTCTGTATGAACAAATAAATAAATCTTAAAAAAAAAAAAAAAAGTAAACATACAGAAATTGCTGTGCTGGTACAAGGCTCCTCCTCAGATAGTGGTTCTTCCTTAATGTGTTTCTTTTTATCCTTTTTCTTCTTCTTCTTTACAGATGTCTCCTGTTCTTCCACCACTAGAACTTCTTCTTCTTCTTCAACTGAATAAAATATAAAGACACAATAATTAATAGTGCTGGATGTCCTTTCTCACTTTTGAAGTTTTCTTCCGTTATCCTGGCCACTAGCCAGTGTTTATGGTATAATTGGAAAGATTCTTCAACATGTAACTAATCTAATATCATTAACTTTATAAGTGATATAAATAAGCACAGGGAGAAGTAAATTTCTCATGACCACATAGCTATGTGTAGAAATTCAGATTAAGCATATTTATTTGATCTCTAAACCCACTGTTTTTTGTTTCATAGTTGTTTTTTTTTTTTTTTTTGGGAGGGGGCACAGATGGAGAAGCAACTATATGTGAAATGCACTATATGTGAAATGAGTTAGGAACCCTGGGATTAATTCAAACTGCTACAACTCTGAGTTAAATTTATATAAATATTCCCTTATTTGTAACATTTGGTAGTGGTCTATCTCACTGGATTGTTACTAAGGTTAAATGATATGATACATGCAAGTTATTTACATAATGCATGGCACATTGACTCTACAGATAGGATTGCCAAGCAAACATCTCAAAGAGGTAAGGCAGTAAATGATACACATATTTTGAGTTAAAAAAAAAAATCCAGGTAGAGAGAAAAGTAAATGCTAAGCTAAGTTTGAAGAGAGAGAGTTGCTAGGTTTAATAGCAAGAGGGTCAGAGTAATACAGCAGAGCAAGCAGAATCAGAAGACATCAGAGGGTTAACAGGGTACCACTGTGGCACCCACGTGAAGAATGACAGTGGTGGATTAAGTGGTTAGGTTCGGTATATGCTTTCAAAATAGGACTTAAGAGGATTGCTGTCAGAACAGATTTGAGTTATAAGAGTCAAGGTTGAAGGCCAAAACAACTATAGACATTTGTAAAGTGGGGGAAAACTGGCACATCCGAATGAGTGGCAAAGTTCCGGGAATGTGAAATTTGAAAAATCTGTTGGATATACAAATACAAACCTGGAGTGTAGATTTTTAAATGTTACTAATAGGTCACCATTAAATAATGAAGAAAGCAGTATGGGAATACAAATTCTCATAACAGTAGTTTAGGCACCAAATTGAGACTATTTGTCTAGAGAGTAGAATAGCATTAATTCAACAACAATTTTCAACATAGGGTCTGTCAGTCCTAAATAAGACTATAAAGTGATAAGTGAAAAATGAAACTAACCTTTAATTTTAACCTTGGCTTTTTTGGCTTTCTTTTCAGTAACTTCATCCTCTTTATCTACCTGTTCTAACTTTCGTTTTTTAGAGCAGGTTGGCAGTGTAGAGTCAACAGAAGGATCATACGTTTTCACTTCACTACAAAAACCAAGCATTTTAGAAAATCTCTGTAAATATCTGTAAATGAAGTATTTCTAAAGACATTTAAAGTAGATCACAAAATAGTCCATCAACATACAATGTTGGTTCATTTAGTGACTATGCAGTTTATCATTACTAAGTTTTAAAAAAAAAATAAAGAGATATACAAAGAACTGATGAAACTCAACAAAAATAAAACAATGCCATCAAAAATGGGCAGAAAAGCTAAAAAGACACTTCTGCAAAGAGGAAACACAGATGGCCAACAAGTATATGAAAAAATGTTCACATCACTTGTAATAAGGGAGATGCAAATTAAAACCACAATGAGGCCCTCCCTGTCGCGCGGGTTAAAGCACAGCACAAAGAAGCTTAAGCCACTTCCACATGAGTTCAATCCCCCGCCTGCCCCGGAGGAGTCCACATGGCGAGGAAGACCTCTCCTGACCTGTCCACTGCTCCCCTCAGCAGTGTACTTCCTCGATCTGCCTGTTCTGCTCCCTATTCTGTCTCTGGTGAATCCTCTCACCCTCCACATCTCTGGCCTGTACCCCTGTTCTGTATGAATAAATAAACAAATCTTATAAAACAAAAACAAAAACAAAACAAACAAAAACCACCATGAGATGCCACCTCACACCAGTGAGAATGGCTCATCTTCAAACAACTAGCAACAACAAATGCTGGCAAGGATGTGGAGAAAAAGGAACTCTCCTGCACTGCTGGTGGGAATGCAAACTAGTACAACCTATGGAAAACTGTTTGGAGGTTTCTCAAACTGCTAAACATGGATTTCCACATGACCTAGCAATCCCACTCTTAGGTATCTACCCAAGACACAAAAATACTGATTCAAAAAGACACCTGCACCCCCATGTTTATTGCTGCCTGGATTAAAAAGATGTGGTACATACAATGGAGTATTACTCAGCAACCAAAAAACAAAACAAACAAACCAAAAAAACACATGCCTTCTGCAGCAATATGGATGGAGCTGGGAAAAAAATCACGCTTAGTGAAATAAGCCAGAAAGAAAAGGGAAAATACTGGATGGTTTGATTCATAGCAGGAGCATAAAGAATTAGGCTTGAAGATCATAATAATGAGCAACTATATAACAGAGACATTTTAAAGAGTGGAATGGGTAATACGATCAAAAATGGTAAGGGGAGGGAAGTGCACTGACTATGGTGATGGCACATAGGTGATGAGATGGGAAGCCCACAGGGATTACAACGGAGATGGAAAAAGGCACAAAATGATGTAAAAATAAACTATTACTTAAAAAAAAAAAAAAAAAGTAGAGATACCACCCCCCCCTTTTTTTTGCGTTTCTATGTTTGGTTTTCAAAAATTTATTTATCTATACATACAACAGCTGGAGTACAGGCCAGAGGTGTGGAGCTGAGAGGATTTACCAGAGACAGAGTGGGGAGCAGAACAGGCAGATCAACTGAAATACACTGCTGAGGGGGAGCAGTGGGCAGGTCAGGAGAGGTCTGCCGTGCCACGTGGGTCAGCTTCCTGGCTGGGGATTGAACTCATGCTGTAGTGGCTGCGGATGGCTTCACAGTGCTATGCTATAGTCTGTTGTGCCACTAGGAAGGGTCCAATACTATTTTCCAAACTGGGTATGCACACTTCAAGAAAACAGGTGAGCTAAATGAATTTATTAATGTTTAAGGATTTATTTATGCACACAAGAACTGGGGGTGAGGGGTAAAAGGATTCACCAGAAATAGGGTGGGGAGCAAAACAGGCAGATCTACTGTAATGCACTGCTGAGGAGAGCAGTGAGTCAGGAGGTCTCCTGTGTCATATGGGTTAGCTCCCTGGCCAGGGATCAAACTAGTGCTGGAGTGGCTACAGATAGCTTCATAATACTGAGATGTAATCTTTTGCACCCCTGGGGAGGTCTCTAACTTATGACTTAGTAATCATGTAGTGAATATATAGGTAAAGGAAAATACTCTATTTGCATAAGGGGAAAGAAAGATTGATTTCCTCATACCAAATGATTATAAAGGATTACAAGAGTCATAAGTAAAATTTATGGGTTAATATCTTAGTATAAATACTATCAAACTTTCCCCAAAAAGCTGTGTTAAATACTACTTCCACTATTATAACCTCACCAGTATAGAACATGGTCTCAAACAGTAACGAAAACACCTTTCCCCGTACATTTTTAGCTGATCTTTATAGTTGTGTGAATACTTTATCACGCCTCTTCGGTAAGTCTTAGACTTTTCTGTCTTTTGCTATTGTTCTCCCCTTAGTAATGGAATTATTGTTAAATATTCAAGGACTTAAAAAAAACTAACCTATATTATGATTACTAATTGCAAAAATGTAAAATAGGCACAGAACTAAAAAAATCATGCAAACAAGGGTTAAGTCTCAGCAATATCACTGCTGAGGTCTGAGCTGTGGACGGTGACCCACATATTAATACATCAGACCTCTCCCGTCTTACCCACTGCTCTCCTAAACAGTATACTTTCAGTAAATCTGACTGTTCTGTGCCCTACTCTGTCTTGCCGAACCTTCTAACTCCACTCCCTGCACCTCTGGCTTATATGCCAGTTCTGGTATTCATAAGTAAATAACAAATCTTTTAAAAAGAAAAAATAAAAGAAACACTGTTTATCTATCCTCCCCAAAATGTACTCACCTTTTATGTTCATATTTTTCTGCTTTTGCTAATGCTTTTCCTGTTCCACTTATTTTCCTTATCTAAGAAAAGAAAAATTAGAATTTTCCAAGCAAACATCTCTAATGCAGGCTTATGTGCCACTGGAACAAGATGCAGTGCTACTGGGTTTTCTTTTGTTACTGTCAACAACATATCCTAATGCCGAAGCTGTTCATTCAACACATAATTCTGGTAAATACAAAGAAAACTGAACAGTAGTCACAAAAAGAACATATTGGGCAAAAATGTATCAGGAAATAAAACTATTTAGCAGGTAAATGACAAAGAACATAAACTGTTCATAAGTTGATTAACTTTTTACAAGTAGTATTTCTGCCACAGGCAAGATGCGTCTCTTACCCCTCTATCTTCCAAGGTCCTCAACCTGGCCTCTAATTTGGCTCTATTCTCAACTCCCATAGCAGAGCTGGAATCCTCCCCAAAAGCATCATACCGGATAGCCAAAACAGTTTTGGCTGCCAACATTCGAGAAATCTAACAGAAAACAAAATCAAGAGACATTCGAGTTATATTCCAAGTTATTATAGAAAAATACACTCAAAACTGCATGAGGGCCCTCCCTGGTGGTGCAATGGGCTACAGTAGCACACTGCGAAGCTCTTCCGAGCCACTGCAGCTAAGTCCCATGCCCAGCCACATCACGTGGCAGGCCTCTCCTGACCTGCCCTCTCCTCCCCATAGCAATGTATTTCAGTTGATCTGCCTGGTTCCCACTGACTGGTGAATCCTCTCATCCCCTGCACCTCTGGCTTACACCACAGTTCTTACATGCATAAATAAACAAGTCTTTAAAAAAAAAATCAACATCTCTTATGAGAAAGAAACAAAGTTAAGATTTACTGCATAATACAGAGTATGGATTATTTGAAGGGAAAAAGGCCTACCACAGAAAAACTGCAACTCACCTTTCCTTTGTGTTTGGGACTTGTCTGACCTACAAGTGACGCATGATAAATGAGGCCATATTTAGGAGTATCTCTTCTAGACTTGAGGGCTCTGAAGAGTGCCTTTTCTGCTCCAAGGATCTGAACTGTAGAAGCTGCATGTTTGGCCAAATTTAAAAGTGAACCTTAAAAAAAAAAAAAAAAGCACACCCAAATGTTTAATCTAAGTATTCTAACATCATAAGCAAAAATTATATAATATAGGATTCCATAGTTTGGAATTTTCTAAAAATCCTGTCATCAAGGGATTTGCAATTGTTCAGTAAGAATCAACCACAAGCAAGGTCTATGTATCTAAGGCAAATTAAAGGGTTAAGCTTATTAAATCATTCAGTTTTACTTATTTGAGAGATGACTGTTTTCTCTACATTTCATTTGGCAAGTGTAGATACTTCAAGGAAAGATACTTAAATATTCTACTACATTAAATGGGAAAAAAATACTGATAAAAGAAACTTATCTAGGCCCTCCCTGGTGGTGCAGCAGGTTAAAGCATAGCACTGAGAAGCTAAAGCCGCTTCCGCATGAGTTCGATTCCCGCCTGCCCCGGAGGTCACCACATGGCGTGGCAGACCTCTCCTGACCCGCCCGCTGCTCCCCTCAGCAGTGTACTTCGTCGATCTGCCTGTTCTGCTCCCCACTCTGTCTCTGGTGAATCCTCTCACCCTCCGCATCTCTGGCCTGTACCCCAGTTCTGTACGAATAAATAAATAAAATCTTTAAAAAAAAAAAAAAAGAAAGAAAGAAAGAAAGAAACTTATTTAGGAAATGTACATAGAAGTATGTGATACATTTCCCATGCTGTATTTGTCTCTACTGTTAAAACTATGCATAAAGAGAAAGGTCAAGAAATACACTAATTAGGAAAATGATTTCTCCAAGGTGGTGCCAGCAGTTTTCTCTTTTGCTATGCAGACTATCTAAGGAGGGGGTTCTATGGCTTGGGGTGAAGATGAATCATCCAACAACATAGACTATACCCGAGGACATATGGTGATTTCATGCTTCACTGAATTTGGAAGTGGATGGAGAGAAACGTCTTAAGGCTGTTGTATAGGACTGGAGACACAGATGGCAGGGATGCCCAGCCAAACAGGGGCACTGGGGAAGGGAGATTGGACATGTGTGGAGGGACACACCTTTGAATAACAGAGAGTAAGTAGGAGCAGTTGGGTGCTTCCACAGCTGGTCTTTGTTGAAGAAAAGAACAGAGAAAGTGCTGCAGATTGCACTAATCCTTCCCACCCTCTGAGACTCATTACTGACCTCCTGAAGCACAATGACAGAATGCTCAGCGTCAAACCTTGAGTCCCAGAAAGGGCAATCAGTGTACTATAAAGCACAAGGTACCCTTTAATCCCCATACAACTTCTGTTTTGCAGAAATTGCAAAAACAGGTTCAATACTTATACAAACTAAGAAAGATCAGAAATTAAAACCATACTGCTGCCACACACAGACCTTTATTAGAAATCACAGCGAAATCTTAACTGACTCTATACTCTTATTCATCTGATTATTCTAATTAACCATAACAAAATTCTGAAAATGGACCACAAAGTGTCTCAGAAGAGGTAGTGACTAAAGATGCCTTCATTATCCAAAAGGAAATCAGGCATACAAACAGAAATCATCATTGATCACTCATGGTCCATAGTCACAAACATCTACTTCTATTTGTTGTCTAACATGCAGTTACAGTAGTTAAAGATACTTAAAAATCTTAGCATTAAACACCAAATACCTATGTTTATAAATTACATTATTTTGATCACCAAGGGACCTCCCTGGTGACCCAAGAGGTTAAGCTTCAGCACTATGGAGCTACACGTAGGGAGCCAAACTACATGCCACAGCAGACCCCTCCCCTCTGGCCTGCTGTTCCCCTGAGCAGTGTCTTTCAGCGGATCCATCTATTTTGCTCCTTTCTCTGCCTCTGGTGAATCCTCTCTCCATATACCCCAGCTCTTGTATGCATAAATAAATAAATCTTTAAAAAAAAAAATACCTGCATGAGCAATAAGCCGTGCACCAACTAATTCCCCAACCATGACTGTAACATTGGGTGCAATGGCCATCATTCGATTTTGGAGATATTCGTAGAGCTGGGTCCTATATTCTGAGATTTCAATCACCTGGTAGAAGGGGGAGAATGAATAGATCAAAAATGTCTTAAGGATAACTCAGTATAAAATTCACACCTCTAAACATCAGAGTCCTAAATTATAAAGCAGCTGTTACACAATTCTGGGAGAATTAAACACTACAGATATAGTACAATTTATTAGATAATGTAATACAATTTATTAGATAATGTAAACAACTGAATATAGTTTCTCAAAATGTTAAACCAATATTACTACTTAAGGGCCTCCCTGGTGGTTCAAGGAGTTAAATCTCAGCACTATGATCCTATCAGCAGCTAATCCAACACAAAATCAATCCCCGCCCCCCGGTTGCTGACCCACATGATACATACATCAAACCTCTCCTGTCTCACCCACTGCTCCCCTCAGCAGTGTATTCCAGTAGATCTGCCTGTTCTGCTCCCCACTTGTCAAGGGAATTCTCTTAAACACCCCCCACCTCACATCTCTGACCTATACCCCAACTCTGTGTGCATAGGAAATAAACTAAAAATGTTAAAAAAACTTCAATAATTAGACACTTTTGTCACCCTTTCTGATTTTTGTACAGATTCTATCCTAATTAGAAAAATTATCACTATAAGCTATAAACATAAAAGCTAGAATTAAGTAACTAAGCTATACTTCTTGGCCTTTTAAAGAATTTTCAGTTTATTATTCACAGTGCTAATAACACAAATACACAGTATGACTTTAACATCACTCTAGTATGAATCTCTCACTAACCATATTAATAACGATGGCATCAGATGAGGTAGTGACTGAACACCCTCATATTCACTTATCAGGTGAACAATAAGTTCAAACATCATCACTGCCACCAGGAAGTTATTACAGGAGTACCACTAAAGGAGTATTTTTTCTATGCATACAGTTTACCTGAGTGCACAGATGTAGAATGTTGCAAATATCTTCTTCTGAAACTTCTGTCCCCATAGATATCTCTGCTGCTGCTTTCACTTCTGCTTCAACTTCTTCTGGCAGTAATTCAGAAAGTGTGGCAGAGGCATAATTCTTCCTATCGCCTATGGAATGTTTGCAGATGAGGGAGAATCACTCTTCAATAAATTATATAACATCCACCAAATAGTCAAAAGAAAAAGTAGAGATAAGCCAATGAAAAGGTGCCTAAACAAAACAAAAAGTGAGTAAGTTTGACCTAGCATTTTCCTTATATAAATGTTTGATTTATAGATATCAAAATACCTTCCCACAACCTCCCTTCTAAAACGGTATCATACATATCTAAGATAAAACAACTTATGCGATAGGACTTAATATCATGATAAGAGCTTTCCACAAGTCTATATTTGCCCCTATTAGTGGCAAATTTGCTGTAAGACACATTCACCATAAGAAGCCACCATTTAAAAAAAGATTTACTTATTTATGCATACAAGACTGGGGGTATAGGCCAGAGGTGCAGGGGTGGGGGGATGGGGTTGGGTAAGTGGTGAGAAAATTCACCAGTGAAGAGTAAGAGCAGAATAGGCAGATGTATTCAAGTATACTGCTGAGAGGAGCAGTGGACGAGACATAAGAGGTCAGCTGCACTTAACAGGTCAGCTCCCTGGCAAGTGGGATCCAACTTATGGACTCGTGCTACAGTGGCTGGTAACAGCTTGATAGCACTGTATTTAACTCTGTGCCAGCAGGTAAGCTCAAGAAGCCATTAAAAAAAAATTTTTTTTTTAATTTACTTATGCACACAAAAGCTGGGTACAAGCCAGAGTTGCAGGGGTAGTATTCACCAGAAAAGAGTGGGAAGCAGAACGGGCAGATCTAATGAAATACACTGCTGAGGGAAACAGTGGAAGAGAAAAGAAAGGTCTGCTGGGCCTTGTGAGTCATCTCTCTGGCCAGAGATGGAACTGGTACTTTATTCACTGGCTGCCAATAGCTTCATGGTGTTGAGACGTAACCCCTTGAGCCACCAGGGAGGCCAAGAAGCCATTAAAAAAAAAAAAAAAAAGACTTATTATGCACACACAAAGATTTATTATTTAGTGTAAGTCAGGTGCAAGTGGTGAGAGGACTCACTGGAGACAGAGTGGAGACCAGCAGGTGAGATAGGAGAGGTCTCCTGAACTATGTGGGTCTGTTCCTTGGCCAGGGATGAAATGCAGGATGTAGCACAGTAATATCAATTAGACTTAACCCTTACACCAAGAGGCCCCCATAAGAAGCCATTACAATAAAAGCCGAAGTGTTCTCTATTGTACGGGCCAACAAAATTCAAGTTGAAGTCATTAATTAAAATCTGACAGATGTTAGTACAACTACAATCCCAAATCATGCAAGTCACAAAAAACTAGGAGGTTTCTGAAGGGGGGAAAAACAGCCACGTAACTATTATCTTTTAATGATAAATTATGTATTATGTTCAGTGCGTTAAACAATAAAGTTACTCACCAACTTTCTGTAAACACTTGCAATATGTCAAATTATCTGAAATAATTTTTCCTAATTCAGGGAAATGCCATCCATACCATTCTCTACACCGCATAATGTAGTTGTTTAGTTCTTTATCTAAGTCATCCAATAAAGCTATAGAAGATTGACAGGAAAACAAAAACAAAAACCCAGAAATTTTAAAGGGGGGGGTCTTTTGAAAATTACAGTATTTTAAAATAAACACAACATTTACCATTTTCAGTACTTTCAAGTATAAGTTTCAGTGGCATCAAGCTGATGTTATACAACTGTTAGCACTATGCATTTCCAAAACTCAATATCTCAAAGTGAAGCTATTAATTACATACTAACTCCATTAAATAAAAACTTCCTATATCCAACTGCACCAAAGTCTCTGGCAACCTCCTCTATTTTCTTTCTCTATGAATTGCCTATTCTAGGTACTGCCTAAGTGGAATGACACAATATTTGTTTCTTTGGGTCTGGATTATTTTATTTAGTACAATGTTTTCAAAAATTCACATTGTTGTGGCATGCATTAGAAGTATCTCATTCTTCTTTAAGGATGACTAATATTCCATTTTGTGTATATAACACATTTTGCTTATCCATTTGTATTTTGGTTATTTTACCTTTTAGCTATTCTAATGTTATGAATGTGAGTGCATAAATACCTGTTGAAATATTTGCTTTCAATTCTTTTACCTAGAATTGCAATTATGGCATAAAGGAATCTTAAAACTGGAAAAATTTAAAGATTTTGACATGTCTAAAGATCATTTAATGACATGGAAGAATGACTTATTACAAAATCGAATGAAAAGAGCAAAACAACACAATACGGTTCCTTCTAAGGTTCTGTCATTTTTATGGAAACAAATGACCTTATATTAATGGTATTATTCACATTACCTCTAAATAGTTCAATTATGGGTAGTTGTTCCTTTTCCCTTTTATTTACTAATTTATGTACTAAATTTAGAAAAATTCTGTATCTTTTCCACAACAGATAAGGTTTATAAAACACAGTTTGGATAGCAGGAAAA